GGCACCTCGGACTTTCACAATTCTAGAGCATCAACCGTTTGAGATCCCTCCATAAATGGCTACCTTCACTTTATTCTCCACACTTCCAGCGACTTCTAACATTTGAAGTGTCAACCATTTAGGCTCCGTTTTGTTTCGGGGAAAATGAATTATTTAGAAAATATTTTCTTAAAATGATCATTTTATATCGCTTACAAAAATGAAGGAACAGAAGATATTTTTCCAAATCGTTCATTTTCAGCGAAACAAACAGAGTAAAAATAATCCAATCCACTACGATCACTAGCTCCTTTTATGCTCTCTCTACTACAACTTACTTCTAGTGTTACTTTTGTGCGATAGGAAAATTGTCCAAAAAGTCCTAAACTTATTGTACTTTTGTCAATTCAATCTTAAACCTTTTAATTATGTCAATTGAGTCCTAAATATTTCCACATTTTTCCACAAATGAGGGTTCAATCGAATTCATATTACGTGCTTTGGTTTTGCGACATGAATGATGCATCATTGTGGCATGTTGGTTGTATTATTATCTGACGTGCAGGGAGGTGTATGAAGGATCCCAAGTAGGTTCGCCTGTGATTGTTAGTATGATTAGTTGTTTGTGTCAGGTATGTGTTGTCTGGAGGTACATGATAGCCTAGGTGGGGTTTAGGGGTGTACTTATTGAGATGTAATCTCATGGTTGTTTCAACTAAATATTTCAGAACCCCGGTCTGATCAATGAACCTTCCGCCGCCGCCGCAGCGTTTTGCAATACCGTTGCACACCGACATTAACCTGGTAGAGTACCCAACAGACGAGCAGGAGACTCAGGAGGATTCAGATTCAGAGGACGAAGAATCAGACTCGGAGTGGACGCCAAGTAAAGGGCGTTGGGGCAAGTGTAGGGGTTGTGGAATAGGCTTTTGAAGCGTACTATTTTTGGTGATAGGGTACCTAGGTTATTGATCCTTTTTTTATATCGGTGGTATGTAGTGGGGCGATGCGGTGTGCTTGTATATATGCGGTTTTGTAAATTGTGGATATTATATAAGTTTGAATGATAAATGAATTTGTGCATTCTCCTTGATTACCCCAGTTATTATCGTCCGGGTATTGGTGGTTTCCCCTGTTGATATAAATATCTGATAAGTTTAATTTGGGTCGGCGATACCCTGGGATGTCGCATCATTCGACCAGAGGAGAGTGTCGCGTGCTCGAAGGGGTTCGGGGCGTGACATATTCGCTAATCCTAACCATTTTAAACGAGGAGGAAATCAATCAATTATTAGAAGCATAATCAATTCAAGCCACAATCAACAATCCTAATATCGTCTCTAAAAGAAAAATCAAACAAAACAATCAATGCCTAATGAAGCCCTAAAGTAAAGGCTTGTTCATTTTGGGAGTTTTTTTTTGGGTTCTTTAGGGGTTAGACCCCTTTTAGGGTTTTTTAGGGGTTAAGCTCCTTTTACCCTAAATTTGGGATTTTCTAAAAATACAACTTGTGCATTTCCAAAAATTCTAATTTCACTTAAAAGGGGTGGCCACAAGCATTTTGAGCCATTCTACAATTTTTGAAATTTTTTTTTCGGGAAAATTTTTATTTGATTTTTTTACTTCCCAGAAGGCTAAATTTTTATTTGATTTTTCTAATTTTTGTATGAATTTTCAGAATTTTCTAAATTTTGGATTTTTTGGATTTTTCTATTTTTATTATTTTATTTTATTCCAAAGCAAACCGGACCGAACCGGTTCAGATCGGTTAGACCAAGTCGGACCGGCTTGGCCAGCGCCGGCGGTGCCCCGGCGAGAACGGTGCCCAAAACGGCACCGTTTTGCTTTTTCTATTGTAGCATTTTTACAAACATCTCAAGGGCATTAGTCTTAGTTTTCCATTTTCGGACAGCTACTTTGGGCCAATCTCAGGTGACCTTCCAGCCACATTCCGATCATTCTATCCGATCCCAAACCTTCACCAAATGATCCTTTACACATCCATACTTATTAGATTGTCATTGAACCTCCATAAGCCATTGCTTTTCAAGTTCAAACTTCTCTACTTAATCTGGAAATCATCTCCTAAAACTAAACTAACCTAACATGTTCTAACATTCAGATTATCAAACAGAACGTCCTAGCCATTTATAGTAATCAAAACAACAACCAGAACATCAAATAGGATTAGAAACACTAACTTGAATGGGCATTGGCTGCTAGAAAGCACTCCGACGAGGGCGAGCAAGTTCCGGCGAAGGGAATACAAGACCGTCTCGGTGCAAAATGCAAGTTCAACGATCCAAAATGCAAGAATCGAGCAAAAACTAATTAGAAACGGAAACATGGAACTTGTAATCAACAATACAGCAAAAAAATCGCAAGATCAACTAAGATTTAACTCGATTATTGACTTCGGCATTTTATCAAACAACTAACATACAACTGCGAAGGATTTTTACCTTCGTCGACGATGGCCGAAATGGAGTTTTCGAACCACTAGGCTACTTCAGTTTAGTTCTCCTACACTTGTACTATCACCCACAACGATCAGCTTCGCCAGGAAAGTCGCTGGTTGGTTGATCGGAGCTCGTTTTCAGGGGTTCTCAATCAGTTATTTGACCGGAATAGGAAAGCGGAGGTCACAGCCAGGGGCCGATTTGCCGGCGCTCCTCCAGTTAGGGCGGCATGGAACGCTCGGTTGGGGACCTCTGACCCTATCCCTCTCGCTCTCTCTCTCTCTCTCTCTCTCTCTCTCTCTCTCTCTCTCTCTCTCTCTCTCTCTCTCTCTCTCTCTCTCTCTCTCTCTCTCTCTCTCTCTCTCTCTCTCTCTCTCTGGCATTCGGTCGAATAGCTCCCCTCATGATAACTGGTTTTTCCGCCCCTTTTTCTTCTCTTCCATAAGGCAGTTCTCAACTCTAACCTACTCACCGATCAGTTAGAACGGATAATAATGGACAGCTGGAGATTCTCCAACTGTCCATTTCGTTTTTCACATGCTGGAATGAGTAGTTTTAGGTCAGTGAAGGGGCGGGGCCGAGTAGATTTTTTCTTTTCATTTTCCCGTGTATGCCCAGCCAAGTGAAGAAGAAGACCGACCCGGGTCGGTTCAGGTCGGATCCAATGACCCAACAAACCCAGGTTGGTCTAATTTTACAATTTTAACCCCATTTTGACCCAATTTCACGATTTTGACCCCAAATTTTGATTCCTTGACACTTTCTACCTTGAAATGTGAGATCAATTTGAGTTTTTATTTCAATTAGACCAAAAACTCCAAAATTTAGATTCGGATCAATTGGGCATTTATTCAATCCAGTGTCCAAATGATCTAATTAAGCCAAATTGAGGCAAAAAATTGAATTACACATGTTCAATTAACCCTATGGAAGGTATAAGTTTCAATCGAAAATTTCAAATTGAATAAGATCCCCAATTTGGGTATTAAAATCCCTAATTTTCAATTAATTTTGGGGCTTTTTAATTCCTTTTGTCAAATTGTGAAATTGGACTGACCAATATGAAATTTAAGGTCCCAGGATCAATTGTTGTGAAGACACCACAGCCCAAAAATGACTTAATTGGATTTTTGGCTCAATCAGGATATGAAATTACCCAATTTCGGGAAAAATATATCCCTAACTGAAATTTTATAAAATTAAAACTTCAGGACTGAAATTGGTATTAAAAGAAGACAAATGAATATTTTTTTGGAATTTTTGAATTCCATTTAGTATTTTTCTCGATTTTTCTCCCTTTTTAGCCAAAAGAAATCAAGGAAAAATTCACGAAAAATCTAAAAATTTTATTTTTTGTTTAGAAATAGATTCTTAAGCATGGCGAAAGTTCCTAATGCTAATTTTGTGATTTTTTTATGTAAAATTGAAAAATGAACAAAAAATCATGTGTCTACAGCGACTTCGCCAAATCCGTTTAGGTGGAGCCTTGCTCAAGCCTCTAGCGAGGCTCCAGCTTGACCTCGCATGTGTCCAATGACCGGCAGAGATAGAATAAAAAAGAAAAAATGAAAAGAAAAATAAAAAAATAGTTGAAAAATACGAATTATTTTATATTTTTTCCTAAGAAAATCAAATCACATTTTCTGTGTCAAATGGCAGAAAATATTTGATAGCTCATTTTCTGATTTTAGCCACATACCGAAAAATATTGTCAATTTCCTAGAAACTGACTTTCTGGAAAACATTTTCCCAAAAAAGAATGGTTTTGCGAAAAACATTTCTCGGGAAAACATTTTCCTCATTTTCTAGTGTTTAGTTTGCTTAGGAAAATGAGTCAACGGAAAATTTTTTCCTACCAAAGCTTAAATTAAAAAAACAAAAAAATTGAATTTTTAAAAAAATTAAATTAAATTAAAATTAAAAGTTAGTAAAAATTTAGAATTTTTTTTGCCTAAAATAAAATCATGAGGTTGAAATCATTTTCCAATAAAATCCAAATATCTAGAAAACGATTTTGATCATATATCGCCAAACAAAGGAAAACTAACCTTATTCCTAGAAAATGATTTTCAGGAAATCACTTTCCTGTATCATTAAGTTTTTCGCGAAACATATGACCTGCCATGGATATTGATGAGAGAGAGAGGGGTGTGACGTGGACTCCACGTGCGTCGTGGCAAAGTTGAACAGTTTTAGGTAGAGGAAAAGAAAAGTCAACGACGATAGGAACGATGTAAAAAAATTCGAAGACCTCGTGGGCTAGGTGTACCGGGGAAGACGAAGACATTCGGATCATAAAGAAAAGGACGCCTTGTGTTTTGTCCATTGTCCGTCATTTATGAACATTTCTATGAAAGATCATGCAGACGAAGACGCCACGGCATTGCTCTGCAACTTTCGTGTACATATTTATCGTTTACTCTAGGAAGACCAAAGCGAAGGCCAACGGCTCCAAATCAATGTATTTTGCTATAAAATGTTCTGCGACTCCATCAAGATTAATGGGTCTACGTCTGCTTATTGGCCAAAACACTTCGCACGTCGTCGCTCCTGAACTCGAAGGTTGGGACTCGCAACTCCGTTCATCTCTCCACGGCGATCAAGGACGCACGGCCCGGAGCCAGATCGCGAGCCTGCCATGTCGGATTCGAACACGAGGTTTGACCTCGTCCTTTATTTTCGTCAACTTTTTTCTTTGTTTGTCGTGAGGTTCCACGAAATTTGGAGGATAATGGAAAACTCTGGATTGGACGAGCTCAATTTAGTTTTGTGGGTGCGTTCTGTTTTTTCTCATGTTGGTGATGATGAGAACTCGCAGCTGATGAAGCAAATGATCTATCCACTCTTCCGATTGGTTCTGTGGACTTTCGAACACTACAAAAAAAACATGACTTTTGCGACGGAAAATTTTTCGTCGCTAATTTGCGACAAACTTTGCGACGGATTTCTAAATCAATCGCAAATTAGCGACGGAAAATAATCCGTCGCAAATTTGCGACGAATTTTGCGATGGATTTATTTTCCGTCGCTAATTTGCGACGGAAAATAATTCCGTCACAAATTCCGTCGCAAAATCCGTCGCAAATTTGCGACAGATTTTACGACGGAAAATAATTCCGTCGCAAAATTCGTCGCAAATTTGCGACGGATTATTTTTCGTCGCAAATTTGCGACGGAATAATTTTCTGTCGCAAATTAGCGACGGAAAATAATCCGTCGCAAAATTCGTCGCAAATTTGCGACGGAAAATTAGTCGTCGCAAAATTCGTCGCAAATTTGCAACGGAAATTTGGTCGTCGCTAATTCCATCGCAAATTAGCGATGACTAATTTTCCGTCGCAAGTTTGCGAAGACTTTTGCGACGGATTTATTTTCCGTCGCTAATTTGTGCAACGAAATTTACCCTTTTGCGACGAAAGTAGTGACGAATATTTTATCCGTCGCAATTTTGCGACAGATTTTGCGACGAAAAAGAATTCGTCACTAATTTGTGACGAAAAATTACTTTAGTCATATGCACCCCACCCGTCAATTTCTCTCTCTCAGTACTGATTCCTCACGTCGCCCGCTTTTCTCCCGCCTTCTGCCTCTTTCATTTCTCTCAATAATCCGTGCGCGCAGAAATCAATCTCGGTAAAGCTTTTCCACCGGTAAGTATCGTAGCTAATTTCGTGACTAAACATGCGACTAATACAGTCCTGTCCTTTCTATTCTTCGCTGGATGCGAATTTTTTTTTTTTATTGACGTTTTTTTCTTTTTTTGTTGTAACTCGATGGCCGGTCGCCGGACCGGCCACCGGCGAGACCTTGCCGGCCTTGGGGGGAGGCCGAGCGGCCTCGCCGACCATAGGCCGAGGTCGCTCGGCCCCCCCATGGCCGGCGAGGCCGCTCGGCCTCCCTCCATGGCGGTCGACCTCGCTGTCGCCCGGATCCGGGCAACGGCGAGGTCGACCCGGCGGCCATGGCGAGGCTGGTCGGCCTCCCCGAGATCCGGGCGAGGCCGCCGTGGCCGGCGAGGTCGACCGGCGGCCTCGCCCGGGTGTGGCGGTCGACCTCGCCGTCGCCCAGATCTGGGCGATGGCGAGGTCGACCGGCGGCCACGGCGAGGCCGAGCGAACTTGCCCCATGGCCGGCGAGGTCGACCGGCGGCCATGGCCAGGCCACTCGGCCTCCCCCAGATCTGGGCGAGGCCGAGCGGCCTCGCCGGTGTCAGCCGGTCGCCGGACCGGCGGCCATGGTGAGGCCACTCGACATCGCCGGCGTCAGCCGGTTGCCGGACCGGCAACCGGAGAAAAATATAAGAAGAAAAAAAAATTAAAAAAAATTCGGAAAAAATAAAAAATTATTTAAAAATGAATGTTAAGTGATTTTGCTTTTATTTAGGTACGTGTCCAATTGAAGGTCTCGCAATCCAAGTGAACGTTGAAATTCTCTTCAAATTAACCACTTTCTGCTACCAAGATTTCAGTCAAATATCTGGGTAAGGTAAGTCTTCTTTACATGATAATTTTTTTAATTTTTTCAATTTCAAAGTAATTATTGCGTGAAAAACAAAATTTTAATTTTCATAATTTTATGGTTTTAATTAAGAACAGTAGATATGATATTTTAAATATTTTACGAGATTTTTTTATTTTAATTAAGACACAATGCAAAGAGACAGGGCTTGGATGTATAATAAGAACTTACCTGGACGTCAAGGATTGACCGATGAGTTTCGTACTGGGTTAGAACTATTTTTAGACTTTGCTAGTACTAAATATGAGTTCATGGATGGAAATAAGTTAAGGTGTCCGTGTAAAAAATGCAGTAATGGTAAATTTAATGTGTGTGATAAAGTTAGAGAACATCTTTGTAGATTTGGGTTTACTCCGAATTATTATAATTGGACTTGCCATGGTGAACCATTTATATCTGATGAAGGATATCGAAGAAGTGACCAATTTTTAGTTAGGGAAGAATGTAGCTATTATGACCAATTGAACCCGTACGAGAGGATGGTGATTGATGTAGCTGGTCAGAATTTTATTTCAGAATCGAACCATGCAAGTACTAGTTTTACTCCTACACTTGAATAAGTGGGTACTAGTCATGCATCACAATTGGAAGAGATAGGAGTAACGGGTTTTGATGAGAATGTATGTAATGGAGCTTCTTCATCTAATCAGTTCTTGGAAGTGATGAAAGCAGCAGATGAACCTTTATGGGCAGGTTGTGACAATCACACTAAGTTATCAGTGACAGCAAGACTGTTAAATATCAAGGCAGAGCGTAATGTGTCTGCGGATTGCTTCAACTCTTTTGTTGAAGTAATGCGGGAAACAATGCCTCATGATAACATAATTGCAAGTGATTTTTACGATATAAAAAAGCTAGTGGATAACTTAGGTCTTCCGGTTGTAAGGATTGATGTATGTAGTAGGGGTTGTATGTTATATTGGAGAGATGATGAAAATGCAGAATCTTGCAAATTCTATAGCCAACCCAAGTACAAGATTAACAGGAGGCCAGGTTGTAATCAGAAGCGTAGACCATGCAAGCAAATGTTTTATCTGCCCTTAATCCCCAGATTGCAAAGGCTTTATGCGTCTCAAGCCACTGCTGAACACATGACTTGGCATGCAAATCATGAAACAGAAGAGGGTCTAATGTGTCATCCTTCAGATGCAGAGGCATGGAAACATTTTGATAAAACATACCCTGAGTTTGCGATAGAGCCTCGAAACATCAGGTTAGGTCTCTGTGCCGATGGATTTGCCCCATTTAGGAAATCAGGAAAAAGTTATTCATATTGGCCAGTTATCTTAACGCCGTACAATCTTCCACCCGGTATGTGCATGAAGACACCTTATATGTTTTTTACATTGATCGTGACTGGCCCGCAAAATCCGAAAAAGTTAATAGATGTTTATATGCAACCATTGATTGAAGAGTTACAACGGCTATGGGAGGAAGGTGTCCTTACATATGATGTTTCTACCGATCAAATATTTATAATGAAGGCTGCTCTTCTTTGGACGATAAATGACTTTCCAGCTTACGGAATGTTATCTGGATGGAGTACAGCTGGGATCTTAGGATGTCCGATATGTTTGGAGAGATCAAAGTCATTTAGATTAAAACATGGAAAGAAGCCCAGCTATTTTGACTGTCACAAACAATTTTTACCGATAAATCATACATTCAGAAGGAATAAAAAAGAGTTCATCAAGAATAGGACTGAAAGAACACGTCCACCATTGAGGTTGAACGGCGAGCAAATTTGGGAGCGGGTGCAGGACTTTCCAACTGTTGTTTAGAACCCTCACAGTACGACTTTTGCGTACGGAAGTACACATAAGTGGACAAAATGCAGTATATTTTGGGATCTACCGTATTGGAAGGCCCATCTTATTCATCATAATCTTGACGTCGTCATGCACATAGAAAAGAATGTTTTCGACAATGTCATAAATACCGTGATGGATGTCACCGGAAAAATAAAAAACAACTTGAACGCAAGAAAACATATGAGAGATATTTGTGATCGGCCAACACTAGATGTGAATGCAAGCAGCAGGGGACCAAAACCAAAAGTAGTTTATACATTGGATAAGGAGCAGAGGCGAGTTGTTTGTCAATGGTTGAAATCTGTGCAGTTTCCTGATGGATATGCTTCGAACCTCGGGAAATGTGTTGATTTGAATGAATGCAAGTTAACAGGTTTGAAGAGTCATGATTGTCACATATTGATGGAAAGACTAATTCCAATAGCTTTCAAGGAAGTTCTACCGAACTTTGTATGGGGCGCCATTACAGAGTTAAGCAATTTCTTGCATGATATTTGCTCGACAGTGTTAAAAGCATCACACATGGAGAAACATGGAGAGAGATATTCCAATTATTCTTTGTAACTTAGAAAGGATATTTCCTCCATCGTTTTTTGATTCGATGGAGCATCTCTTAGTTCACTTGCCTTATGAGGCCAAAGTTGCAAGTCCCGTCCAATTTCGATGGATGTATCTATTTGAGAGGTAATTTTTTTAAAAAATAAAGTTAAAATTACCTTATTATATATTATGTTCCGATAAGCTTCTTTCTATTGCAACTAGATTCTTATATCATTTGAAGAAAAAAGTGAAGAACAAGGCATGTGTTGAAGCTTCAATTTGTAATGCGTATATTGTGGAAGAAGTGACAACATTTGCGTCATACTATTTTGAGCCGCACGTGCAGTGCAAGAGGCGGAGAGCAGGCAGAAATGATGAGGGCCCCAGTGATCCCAATTGCAAAGCATTCTCTATTTTCAATTATCTGGGTCGACCAAGCGGCGCATGTCAGTTTCGTTACTTAACAGGCGAAGAATTGCATGCAACCCATACATATATTTTACTAAACTGCCCAGAAGTCGAGCCATACTTCGTGTAAGTGTAAATTTGCAAATATATGTATTGTGTGTCAAATATTTGCTAATATATAAATGGTATTTATATATTACTAGGATTTTCCAAACTTCAATGTATGGACTACCACCAAATGAGTTTGACCGTTTGTGCGATGAACAATTTGCAGCATGGTTCAAAACATATGTAAGTTGCCTATGGACCAAAACCAAGTTATTTAAATTTTATACATCATTTATTAAAATATATATTATTGACCTTGCGTGTGTAACCTTA